TTCCAACCCTGATATTCTATGATTCTATGAATATTCTTTTGAATACCTCCAGTGATTTGCGCTCCTCCTAGCACATCACTGGATCAGGATCCTAGTTCGCAGCAGCTAAGAGATGAAACTGAAGCCACTTTTCCCCTCTGAAATGTCCTAGACTACAGAATATAACCTCCAACTGTAGCCCTTTTGCTTTATTCATGATGCTGTGTATTGAACCTTTATGTTTAAGGAAAAGATAGATCTCTTAAATCCCTGGCCAGTGCCCTATCCCCTGCACTACCCACCTCATTAAATGAAGTGCTCAAGGGTATGGCTATACTGCAGTAAAACACCTGTGGCAGCTGACTCAGACTTGCAGGGCTTGTACCCAAGCCCCAGTCAGTTGATGCAGGCCCGCTGCAGGTGATTTATTACAGGGCAGACATACCCTAAGTGACTCTAAAATCTGCCTTTCTCTCTAAAAGGCCCTATATTAAGCAGAAGCTGTGCTCTCCATCTGAATTTCCTTTAGTCTTTCATGCATGTAGTCAGCATGGACTTTCTATATTTCTACACCCCCACATTTTTTACCAGGTTTTATCACATCTGAGTTCACACAGAAAAGTAGAGCCAGACTGTGATTTACACTCCATGTGATTGTATTGATTTCAGTGGGTTTGTAAATGGACAATTTAATCCGTTGCATCATACACCAGAGAGATAGCATGTGTTCCCTGTAACTAGCTGTTACAACTTTCTTGTTAAGTTCTGTCAGTCAATTTTTGTTTTCCAACCTGCCAGTACTCAAGGACTGTCAATAATGCTTTCTGGAAAAGAGAGCAGTTTCACTGCATCTGTATGTATCCAATGCAAAAAATAAAAATTGCATTGATTGCAAAATTTCCTTAGTCTCTTATGTACATTCATTCCATCCTTCCTCTGAAATGCCTTATAATAGAGCTCTTGAATAAATTTGTCACTAGCATTAGCAGCTCTTACTACATCACATAGTGTAGTAAGCTGATAATGTCTGCTCTCAAAATGAGGGAAAGGACATGGAAGTGGATAAAATGTGTGTTTTAACTTTACCACTACATTTTCATTGACATACAGAAGATCCCATGGCACCTACTTTAATAATACATAGCACTTATAGCAGCATGGCCCTTGCTATAGAAGAGGACATTAACCTAGTGTCCTAAAGCCTAGGAAAATCTGGCTTTAAGATTAAATGTATTTAGGGAAGTAAATACTAATAGAAACTGTGTAATTATGGGGGACTTTAACTTCCCGGCTATAGATTGGGGAACAAACGCTAGTAGCAATAATAGGGCTCAGATGTTCCTAGATGTGCTTGCTGATCAATTCCTTCAT